GCAGCCTCTCCTGTCACCGGGGTGATGGTGGTGGTGGTGGTGGTGGGGATGATGCTGAGGGATCGCCGCCCCGGCGGCTCTGTACCTTCCAGGCGGGCACTTAGAGGAGGTGCCGCCCGGGGCCCGACCGCAGAACGAGAGGCTTGCTCAGGATCAGGATCAGGAGGTGCCGGGCGGACCGCCTGGGAACACTTACCGGGCTGCTGGTAGGTGGCAGGGCTGAGGCGGCAGCTTTGGGATGCCACGAGGCGCCACCTGCTGCAGGCGAGGTCGGCCTGGGGGTGTGTGTGTGGCGGGGCGGAGACCCCACCCGGTTCACCTGGTGCGAGAGCAGCCTCAGGGGCAAGGGCGGTCTCTGCTTGAGAGGAGGGGCAGAGGCTTTCCTCCTTGTGGGGGGGGGGTAGAAAGAGCGAGCGAGCGAAGCAGGGAGGGAGGGACTTTGAGGGAACGTGAGCCCTTCCTCCTGGACCTTCCACCGGGGCTCGCTCAGAGGATGCAGGGGCCTCCAGCCCGCAACCTCCTCCACCCACCCAGACCTCCTCCACCCGAGCAGCTTCCCGCCTAGTGGCCAAGGAGCCTGTTAAAGGTTAACCGGCGCCGCTCGGCTCGGCTCGGCTGAGCAGCTTCCTTCCTCCTCGCTGGCAGGCCGGGGGATTGCTTCTTCCCGTCACCCTAGGAAACCTCGACCCCTTGGCCCTCTGGCGCCGCAGACCGATCCTCGGGGGCCAGCAGGGCGCCCTCAGGGCGGAGGGAAGGACGAGGCGGTCCCCACCGTCAGGGCAAAGCTCCGGCAGGTGAGGGGACCCCAAAGAGGCAGGCAGGTCCTCTTCAGGTCCACAGCGTGGAGACTTCGTGAAGGGAGAACGAGACCAATCCGTGCAAAAGCTGGAGAGGGAGGGTGACGTAGGAGGGGGGAAATATGGGCTTGGAAAAAGGAAGAAGAAAAAAAAAGAAAGGGAAGGACGAAAGTTTGTGATGCTTTAAAGACGAATGAATAAAAGGATCTCAGCGTCCGCTCCGATGGATCAAACGCCTTGCCTTCTTCAGATACTGTACTCAAACGGTGCCCTCTGCGTATTTCTACTGTGGAGGGAATCATGGAAGTAGGCACCCTTAACTCGCGAAAGGCACTCAACCAGCCGTTGGCTCCGGGAGGTGGCAGATCTTGGCCACTCGGCCACCCGCGGCAGGCGAGGTCAGTTTGGCTGTCACTGATGGGCTAAGGCCGGAATTCGTCCCAGGATTTGGGGGGTGGGGGTGGCGGGCGGCAGGCTTTGTCAAAGGAGGCAACGGTTTCATACCCATCACAAAGAAACCACCCCCACCACCTCCAGCACCAGCTGTCTGAAAGGAAGGGCCCCCTCCCCTCTGTGGGCTTCAGTCCATTTGCGGGCGCGGGGGGGGTGTTGGAAGGAGGAGGTTGCCAAGGGCAGGCCACCCTGGGAGAGCGGGCAGGAGTCGGGCTTCTCCTCCTCTTGGCTTCTTCCTAGACGCCGCCGGGAAGGATGCTGCCTCCATCCTCCAGGCTTGGCTTGGCTTGCTCGGGGGAAGGAGGGGAGAGCAGCTCACCCACCCCCATCCCCGTTTTAGAACCGCCCGGCATGAGAGGAAAGGGGGCACGTGGCAAGACAGGGAGGGGCCCGAGCTGGAAACCCCCCTCCCCACGGAAGGGGGTCCACCCTTGACGGGGGAGCCCTAGGAGAGTGTCCGGGGCGGGCGCAGGGGGCTTT